ATTCTTTTTTCCAAAAACTGGATTCAGGTTCTGCAGAGAGGGGCTGGCCTGGTCTTCTGGAGGTCCAGTTCTGGGTTCTGCTCCCAGTTGTCTTCATGAAAGATCTTGGACAAATCACAGTGTCTTCCAGGGTGAGAAGTTTCCCCATCTGTGTCTTCTTGCTCCATGGCTCTGGGCCTCACCAAAGGTGACCCAGGTCCTTCCTGAGGCCATTCTGCAGGTATAAGTACCACCACCTCTGCTTGCCCTGGTCAATCTCAGGCCTTATGAGCTTAAGACCTGAGAGGGATTAACGACAGAAGCCCTAATTTGGGCTCCTGCTGCTCTTTGGTCATCTCCCTGTCCTGGGAGACACTTTGGCTTGAGTCTGCTGTTCCTGAGTCTCTCTACCAAATATGAGCCTTTCAGTAGAAGGGATGAGATCTGAGTCATTTGGGTCATCAGTGCACAGAACATGGCTTGGGGCAGTAAGTTTGATGATAGGACAAACAGCAATTGGATAGTGGTGGTCCTGGCCCCTAAGATGTTCTCTGGAGGAATCCTGAGAACATCCCACCTGTGGACCCATTGGTGGGATTCAGACAGACCATATCTGGGTGCGGGTTGTTTTCTTTCTCTGGATGCACATCCATTAGTCAAAACTACCTTCAGCTTATCTGTACATTATCTTATTTGATCCTCATGGATCTTAGAAAATTTGTATTGCCCTTTCATCCCCACTTTACAGATGAGGAAAGCAAAACCCAGAAAGATGAAGAAACGAGTTTAAAGTCATAGCTCATAAAGGCGGCCAGGGGACTTGAATACAGGACATTTGACCTGGCCTTTCCCTGCTTGCCCCTCACAGGAGGCAAATGGTTGACCATGGGAAGGCTGCTTACTCAGGTGTTTAGCACCCATTTCATTTCTGTTCTGTTTCAGGATAATATTCCAGGAAAATATTCCTAGACCAGAGCTCTCCAAAACAGACATGGATGAAATACATTTTTTTTTTTTTTTTTGGCCAGTGGTACCAGGAAAATGGTCCAGGAACAAGATGCTCTTTGGCATTCATGGGGTTCTTGGCAGATCAAGCAGTAACAGAGCAAACACAGGAAGGGTCTAGGAGGAAATATACTGGTTGTGTCAACTGTAGGATTTTAGGACAAATGACAGTTCTCAACCCTTAACTAAAACTTGTTACTTCATTGTCATGAAAGACAACTTCATGAGCAAAATAAATGCGAAGATTCAGAGCAGCCAGATTTTGGCATAAGGCCACTCAGAGAGGGTTAGGCAGTAACTGGCCCCACAAGCAAAAGTTGTGGCTGGGCTATTTGGGCAGCAGGTGAACAGTACAGCCTGGGATGTGATCACAACCTGGAGGACGAGGATTTGCTTCGTCCCAGGGATAGTCCTGTGGCTTGGAATTTCGAATTTCTAGCCATCCCAAGAAGCCTGTGTTAATAAGTGTGTTCTCAAATATTGCAACCTTTTTTAGGTGATGTTCTCACTGTGTTTAGAAAGTGAACTTATCTAGAACATAAAAGTTAGATAAACCCTTGGATTATCATCTTGTTCTAACACCTTTTAAGGTTGGGGATGTGGTAGCTCGGAGGGAGAGGACACACTGAGCCATGCAGAAAGTATCCTTTCATCTGCCTCTCTGGCTTGTGGACATGGGCTGGGGTGGAGGGTCAGAGAGGAGGCATGCTGTTCTCTCCTCTCTTCCAGCACATGTCACACGGTATTGTCATGTGTATACCTGTCTCCTCTCTCTAGCCCCTGGGGAAAGAACCTAGAAAGCAAAGACCACAACTAATTTATTACTATCTCTAGCATCTAAGACATTACACTTGGCAGGTGGATGACATCAGGGACTGTTTGTCCCACGGAAAAATTAACTTACTTCTCCCTCTCTGTATCTGTTGTATGGTTTAAAGGAGTTCCCAGGAGTGTCTTTATAAGAAGCACTGTCTTTGCAAAAGTCTGTTTACCCGAACCTTTTTATAAGTAAACTTAGAAAGCTTAATTCCATTTTTTATTATTCAACATTTTATACATAATAAATACAAACTTTTTACAGCCACTGTAAAGAAAGCACATCTGCACAGAGGTACGCCCTCAGAGCCTGGCCCTGTGCACTGTGATGCTGGATAACATGTCTTGGAGGGAGGGGTTCTTTATAAAAAGGAGGCATATTTTTACAACTTTGTTTTTTTAAAATAAAATTAGCAGCTCTTCCAAAAAATATTTTAAAATATAACAAAAAAATTTCAAATAACCCTCTGAAAATGTGGAAAATCCAGATTCAAGGACAATTTGGCTAGCTAGAAAGAGAGAATACAAGACTGGGTGGCAGGAACTGCCTGATTTTATGCACTTTGAAGATTTTTAAAGTGCTTGGAAGATGTTTAACATACCAGCAAACATTAAAATCTTAAGAAAACCACCCCTTAATTTCTTTTTTTTAAACTTAAGAATAAGTTTGATAACATAAAAAGACCTCAAATAGATCAACAGGTTAAGAAATGCAAAAAAAAGAAAAGAAAAAAACTCCCAAAAAAACTCCTAATCACAGAGAAGATTCATCAATGGACATTGTCACTGAAGTGATCAAATGACTAAAAATTTCTTCAGCTATGACCTTACTTTTGGTCAATAATCCCATGGGGACATTGGGCGAGCATTTCAAGTTTTTAGAGTCTTAGGAAGGATGGAGTTTTCAAAGCATAACACAACTTTTAGATTAAATTCTGTGAATTTGATTTCTTAAAAAAAAATAAACAACTGGCAGATATCCCTTAGTCCTAGTTAACTCACTCCCTATCTTCCATAGGAGGTGGAGGGCCAGCAGCGGCTGACTCTGGGACATCTGCTGCTGTGGGCTTGCTAGCCCGTGGAGAAAGCTACTCCTGGCTCTCCCTGTGACGTGGAGAACTTGTCTTTTCCTTGTCAAATAGCACTTGTGCAGGGTGTGCAATCCTTTAGTTCTTTTTCATAGGACGCTGGTTTCTTCCATGAGCCACAGGTTCTTCCTCCCAAGGAAATGTCAGGTCAGTGGTACCTGGGAAGCTGCATTTTCTGCCAGGGGTGGCTGCTGGTCTGGACCAGCCACAACCTGGCTGGCTGGGCCAGTGCACTGGCTTGAGAATAAAACAATGCTCAGGGCTCCCCATAGAGAAGCTTAACAAGGCAAGTATGTGTCCCCAATTTATTTAGACATTCAGATTATAAGGATACTGGTCAGAGGACTATATGCTGCAAAAATTAAGATGAAAAATACCCAAATACAAAAAGAACATTAAATCGGCTCACTTCAGATCTGGAAGCTCCATTTCTGCCTTAGCCGCAGCCTCCTTTCTATTAGTCTATGTGATGGACATTTGGCTACTGTTCAGCCCCTCCATATTAGCTCCACTAATACTAAATGAATGGCATAAATATTAATACGAAGGACACTGTTATTGTTTTAAATCTGTTAGTTGTGGAAGAGATGTGCATTAATGCAATTGGCGCTACACTCAGGCAGTCCGCTTGTTTCCAATAAGGTTCTACTTCCTCAGTCTGGGGACTAAATGCGGGGAGGAGCCAGCCTCTCCTGAAATCCCTCCTTCTGCTTTCTTATGTAGCCAACATGATCTGATTAAACTCGATCAGACGAGCAAAAGCCACTTGAAAAAAGATGAGAATCTTTGCCACAACCTTGTGGCCACAGTAATATACTGTACGAGTGCACATGATCAGTGTCTCTGTGACTGTGCCCTGGATAAGGCCTGGTCTTGAGTCTCATATAAAAATGGACCACTGTTAGGCATGAGGGCTGTCCCCCTCTGCTTTGAGGGCCCATTAGTATTTGTGCTATGGTAGGAGAGATGACATAGAAAATGACAACAAAAAAAGGCACAAAATATCCAAAACATGGGAGGAATCCACCAGGCCACTCAGGCATTTATAATCCTCCTGGGTTTTGCTCTGTTCAAGAGTCATCATCATGCAAAGGTGCCTAAAAAACAAGACTGGCCAAACTCCAAGCTTGGCCTTGATTGTAGCAGTAACAGACGGGCAAACCCATCATCACACCAGTGTGATTTCCACATCCTCGATCTTCTCTGCTGGCCTTCGGTGGTTCTGTGTAGGTGGAGGGGGAGCTGCCCGGACCTGAGCAGGAAACAATTACGTGGCTTGTCAGTCAGGTTCTTGATTCAGTGTCTAAAGCATCCAAATGCAAACTGGTCATTTTATCCAAGGACATGGATGCCCCAGGGGTCTCAG